TCTCTTCTCCCAAGTGCTTCCACCTCGCCTAACTGAAAAATGTGACTGACTCCTGTCGGGCGAGCTGCAACTTTCTAGTTTGTTTTACTCCCATTCATCGTTGCTGTGCGTTCAACCGTAATCTTTCAGAACCAGTTCCTAGTTTATCTGCAGTTTTGGGCCTACCTGCAGTTACGGTAGACGATAAATGGTCGTGTTATGACAGACACTTTTACTGCGAATACGGTTTTCACAGTAGCTTTTAAGTAGATTATTTCGTTACGAATATTATTGCAAGACAATTTCAGTTGTGCAGGCAATTCAGACAGTAACTTTAGGCTTTTCTCCCTCCACACTGACGATCTAAGCTCCCCTAATGACTGTCATCTGGTCAAGTATGCTGCTGATTTCGTTGTTGGACACCCTCTCAAAAGTCAGACACACCTCCGGTCTCTAAAGGATGGTCTAAACCATGTCCTAGCGTGGTCGGAGGAAAATGGCCTCCTAATTAACAACCAAAAATCCGTTCAGTGTATCTTTCGACTGCGGCCCTATCCTAATCCTGATTCCTCTGACATTCTTCCTAACGAAGTATCCTATTTCAGGTATCTCGGAGTTACTTTATCCTCAAATCTTTCATTTTCCTTCCATATTGAGACCCTATTTATTAAAGTTCGTAAACTTCTTTACTACATACGTCGTTTACGTTCCTACCACACACCTCAACCCTTAGGCTGGCGATTCATAGATGCCTGCATTCTTCCTCTTATCCTATACTGTTCACCTGTCGTTTTTCCTGCTTTGCTAAAAAAGGATCTTTTAATTTTGAAACGAGTCCTCCGCATGCTCTCTTCTGCTGCTGTTGTTTCATATCTTTTTTTTAGTTGACACTATCTTACAACGACATTTCAATGCGGTCAAGCAATTTGCTGGTCGAATTCTAGATGACGTTGCCTATCCCTTACATTCTGATCTTATGTCTACGAAATCTTCCCGCCCGATGCGCCGCAGCTTCCGACTTATATCCTGTTGCATATCGGCTTATCGAGCTTCTGTGTTGCCATTCCTAGAACGTTATCTTACGTGCGAAGAGCAGAAATAAAGAACCTAAGACTTGAACTATCCCCATAGTAATCGTTTCTTTGACACTTGAATAATCTCTTACTTATTTACTGCCCACAGTGAATGGAGCCAATTTTTTGCTGAAAATTTTGAACTTACGATTCCAAAATAAAGCGAATTCCTCTCTCTCTCTGTTTCCGAAATAAAACCGCAATCTCCAGGATCAGGTTTTACTGCGCGTATTTCCGGAGGATCGGCCCTAGAATAGTTTGCCACTGACCACATTTCGAACAGCCGACAGGAGTCCATCAATTCCATTTTAAAAGTTTACGTATGGATGAATTTTGGCAGGATGATCCTGAGCAAATCGGGTAGCAAAAATATCTGATGCTTACGTCCATCATGAGAATATGTAAAGATGAAGAAGTCTAAATGCATTTTCCTCTAGACGCAACTTTGCGATGACAATAACATATCGTCTTTCACTAAACTTCGTAAAAACCATCCTACACTCGAGATCACCTATTTTTACAGAATCTACTGGTTTATAACTCCAGCACTCCGTGGTTCGAACACATTATAATTACGGAGCGCTGGGCTTCGTTTTCCAGCAAAAGTTGGCCTAGAGCCCAAACGTCTTGTTTTCTGACCTTCCTCGTCTGTTATGGTATTACTATACACACAAGATCATGGCGATTTTTGTTGTTTGATAATTTTGTGGTGCTCAGACGAGGAACTGTCCACACAAATTATGGTCCTCCAAGAGACAAAAATCGCTCGATTTAATTTCGACAACGGACGCTGGAACACAGAATAAAGGCCAGGGATGTCACTCTCACGCATCTTACACAGCATAAGGTAACGAATACGACTGCCTTCTGATCTTGTTTTTTTCCATTTTATTAGAACCAATCTAAAAAAATGTAGACAGAAGATTACTAAAACAAGCCCTAATTAGTCTACAAGGCCACACCATATAAATAGAGCAGTCATAAATACTTAGTAAATAAAACTCAAATTAAGACCACAAAAATTGTTATACTTTCCGGTACCCACATTTAGGTTGCGCAAAAGGAAAAAGTTTACCCAGTACAAAATTCTATCGCGTATGCCTTCGGTTACAAGGGAGTTTGGTGGGGTTTTCTGCAAGCACATATGTCGTCATTTTTGTTCACAGGCGCGTCATTGAGAAAAGCGAAGATTTTTAACGTTAAAGTAGATGTTAGACAAAAATGCCGCATACACTACTAGATCTAGGCCACGTTTGTCAACACAGGGCCTGTTCAGGTACAGTCATACGAGCTTAATAACGTGGTTCCTATTGCCAAATGATTGGCCATAAATTCGTTTCCACCGTTTTAGGAAGTATATGATAAGAAATTATTCGAATTTCAGAAAGTGTCCTATCGCATTAGGCCTGATGACAAAAACTGACAAGAGAATTTTCGGACGGCTTAAAGGTTGTGCATTTTGCTCACTATTTCAGGGCCTTCAAATGAATGTCCTTTTTGCGCTGTAAATGTGTCCCCGCAATTTAGTCAGCAAAACTTTAATACTTTTAAGTGAAAATGGACGTTGGGATATATATTCGGGCAATGGTCTATGCAAATACCTGTCTTAGACTTTGTTTGAGTATCTGAGCATATCTTACTCCGAAAGTAAATTATTTGCCCTCGGGAGTTCTAAAATCAGAGTTTGCTGGATATTAAAATTTACTTTTCTCGGATTTTAACCGTGTAAATCAGTTTGCTGCCTCATAGACTGTTTCTGGATAACAGGATGTTTTGCCGATTTTTAGAAGTCAGATTGGTAGATGTGAGTTACTTCGCTTCAGAAAACACAGTAATAACAGACAACGCTTCGTTTAAATGGGTCGAAATTATGTTACCGTTTGGAAAAGTACCTCAGAAAGGACTACCAGCAAATAGTAGTTTTAGATTTGAGTATATGGAACACAAAGTTCCATGCGGTCTAGCCTCTGCACATACGTAGGAAATAAAATTTGCAAAACATTAACCATTTGAGCAGAATATCTGAATTTGCATGGTCATTCTGTCGTGCATTCATAATCGAACAAATGGAACCCGAAAGTGGACAAAAATATAGACAATGGACGCCATATAAGGCGAAGGACATATACTTACGTTTCCAGTAGAAAAAAATTATTTTTGACTAGACTGCAGTTGGCAGCCAGGAATGGAGACGCGGACGGCGACCTTAACCCCAATCCTAACCGTAACCCGAACCCTAACCTCAAACTAAAACGTTAACCGTTAACCTCAACGGCAACCATAACCGAAATCGTAAGCGTAACGGTAGACATTAGACATAGCCGTAACTCGAAAACCTAACCGTAATATTGAAACTTAATCTTACGCTCAAACCCTAATCGTAACTCGACAACCTCAGCCTGAAAGCATTTCCCTCACCGGAAAATCGGATTTAACGCGGAAGCCAAATGGGTCATATGTGATTATGGAACCTCACAAAATAGCCCCAGTAAACAAAACCCCCAGCCACTTGTAATACGGGGCCTGGCTTCCTGGTAGCCAGGAATGGAGAAGCAGACGGCGACCTTAACCGCAATCCTAACCTTAACCCGAACTCTAACCTTAACCCTAAACGTTAACCGTTAACCTTTATGGCAGCCCTAACCCGAACCGAAACCCCCCAACCACCTGTAATAAGGGGTCCGGCTACCAAATGCGATCTAGTCGTATTTTTTAGCAAAATGAAGAAAACGGCTTAAGGCTTCAACTTCTGCAGGTTTTACCATGCGAAATAAAAAGTACAGTTGCCGTCGTCAACAAAGTGCAGTATTGAAACCCTTTACAAAAGCATACTTATTATTTAATTACATAGGTATTACCTTCACTTGGTATCACTTTGCGAATGAGTAGCAGCCATTCGTGCATTTCTATACTTTTTGTGAACCAGGTCACCATCTGTACGTCTGGTAAAAGTGTGTTGTTCGTTTTGGTAATCAATTGTAACTGTAGGCATATCTAGCCCAATGCCAAGCGATAGTATGTAGTAAATCAAAGTCATTAGTGTGCACTAGTTTGGATGACGGATGACTGTGACTCTTAGCCGTCTCCGTAAGTGGCGAGAAAATGAACGGTTGTCTACAATCTAAGCAGGCACTCTAAGCATGTAAGTAGGTAGACCCATGAGATTCGCAACATAAATTTTCTAAACCTGGTGGTTTACGTGGCTGGCAGTTCACTGGTGGATACACACTGTGGCAAAATTACAAGAAAAAAATGATTCTCCCCAAAATAACATACCATCTTTCATCAAAGAGACAAACTGATGGCCAAAAGAAGCTAAGAGTCGAGTCCCAGGAAGCAGTCGTGGATAGGAGACACGATCGATGGGACAAGAGCTTAGATAGCCTGACGTCTCGGATTCCTGCTCGAACCCATCATCAGAGACAAAAGCTGATAAGGGTGTTTCATGCATAAGGGGCGCTGACATGCGAAATTAATGCCAAGCTGTTGGCGTTGGAGAGCTCAAGTGCTATGAAACCGACCGACAGACGCATTAAGAGACCCCAAGATACGGCTTTGGCCAGATTATATGGCCCCCCTAAGGTGCAAAAAGACGGCGCTCCTCTTCGACCCATCGTGTCGCTCAAAGGTACTCCAACGTACAAACTGGCTAAGGGGCTGCTCCGGCGTCTCAAGTTAATGGCCTCTTCGTGAGCACAATTCCAGGAGAAACTCAAAAGAGTAAGCCTCCATCCAAATTAGGTCATGGTATATTTTGATGTCACATCCATTTTTACTTATATTTCCCAGGACCTGGCGATCGAGACAGCAGAGTTGCCACTACATAGCAAATACAATGAAACGGAGAATCGTCATGGACACGCTTAAGTCCTTAATCTCCTGAAATTCTGTCTCAGGACGTACTTCCCGTTCGACGGGACAATATACGAACTCGTGAGGGACACACCAATGGGTTCGCTGATTTCGGGGTTCATCGCCGAGGCGGTCCTGCAGCTGATAGAGTCGCTGGTCTACCAACACCACAAACCGAAGTTCTGGACCCGGTATGTGGATGATACCTTCGTCGTTATCGAGCGAGATCACCTGCTGACAATCGAGGAACGTCTGAATGCGATCTTCCCGGACATACAATTTACGATAGAGGAGGAAGAGAACAACCAGCTGACCTTCCTGGATGTTCTCGTACGCCGCAAAGATTGTGGTGGACTAAAGACCAATGCGTTCGGGAAAGCGAAAAATAAGATGCAAGTACTGAACTTCAACATCAACCACGCAATCCGCCACAAACGCAGATGTGTAAGGACGCTCTATCGGCGTGTCGAAACGCACTGCAGTGAGCCGGAAGACAAAATTGCCTAACTACAATACCTCCGATGGGTCTTTAAAGCCAGTGGCTACCCGCACAAATTCCTCAACCGGTGCATACGAAAGGCTTAACCGCACGGACACCAAATTTTGGCAAGTGCTTGCGCATGCCAAGAATGTTTAGGAAGCTGTTGGTCGCCGTCTCGCACCACTTGGGGTTGAAGTAGAACACTGAGCGGAGGCAACCATCAGGCGTTTGGTCATGAAACCGAAAGACACACTGCCACGGCAAGAAACGTCTAGAGTCGTTTATCGAATCTGGTGCAGTTGCGGACAAAGCAACTATGTCAGTGAAACCGGAAGACAGCTCCGAACTCGAATTGTCGAACACTCTGCAGCGGTGCGGCAAAATGACGCCAGGTCTCAAAGTGCGGCTCATTAGACGACATCTGGCCAAACATCCGAATTCGACGAGGCCGAAATGCTTGCAAGAGATGACAACCGCGCGAGTCGGGAGCAGCTTGAGTCATGGTTTTCTGGCCCACAGTCTATTAACAAGTGAAATAACCTGCCTCTTCCATACTTGGTGCTGAGACTTCGCCAAGGAGGAGTAATTGGACACGCGGGGAGCGAGCAGGTGAGTACTTCCCCAAAAACCAGGATCGGCGCGTCAGATGGTCGAGCAATCATCACACCAACACCCAACGCACATGATGAAGTTGCAGCAATTAACGGCGCAAACGTCGGCCATCACACAACGTGCAACGATCCCTGATGAGGGGGAGCCGTGAATACTCATAGAAATGCGGTAACATGGCGACTGCACCCTATAAATACTGCAGCCCTTTATGCATGAACCACCCGTGTCTGCTTTGTCTCTGATGATGCGTTCGAGCAGGAATCCGGAAGGTCGGGTTAATAAAGGTCTTGTCCCGACGATCGTGTCTCCTTCTTCTAGACAAACTAATGGCACAAAAACCGTTCCACTGCAATGTGGAACATATATGAGAACATTTCTCTGTGATTGCGGACATAGTCGAAAACGAAATTCATAAAGCTGTTAAAACAGGGGCGCTCAAAGACGGCAGAGAAATCTGCATTCGCGCTCTGTTTCGTATTCTCGATTGAAGGCATATTCAGGGGCAGCCACCGATGGGGTCTGTCTTTATAGGGCTGGGTGGAGTGAGAGTTCAGACTGCCAAAAAATGAAAACCGTCGTTCAACGGTCGCGTCTCCTCCTTGCTAACACTGCTATCGTTGCAAATCCCCTGTTCTGCAATCGGCGGCATAACCGGATTCCTAATAGCCAAAGAGACCATGATTCGCCCGTTGTCAGCTAACTTTCGGCACACTACCAACAAAGAAACTGATAGTATATCTGCACAGCGGCAACGAACGCTTGTTTTTCTGAATGTCAGACGATGCATAGTTCTTTCACTAAAAAACAACGGGCGGGTATCGAACGCAGTTTTCAAGAGCGAATACAACTCTAGTGAATCCTAGAAGATTACCATACCGTCCTAAATCCGCACTCCCCGAATGCCGCCAACAGACAAGGCCAGGACAGAGAGAAGAGGATTGAAATTCAGTGTCACTGCAAACACTGCCTATTCCCTTACCTCTCGAAAACAGGATTCACGAAATGTGTTGTTCCAGTGTGGCCCTAATGCGCAGCGTTAGCACCACTGACACTTAAAACCTGAGTGGATATGAATGTCGTCGCGGTAAGAGAGCGCTCTACAAGATCGCCTCTTTTCACGCATAAATTCAGGCTGGACTTAACTGTCGGTCGGTGCCATTTTCTGCGAATAAATTCTCAGACGTTTTATTCTACGTTGACAAGCACTGAGACATCAGCATCGATTTCTCCATGTGAAACCTAAATGGGCCTTATAACGTTGTATTTTAATCAATTCATTTTGTGCTTTATCATCATACATTTAAAGTCATCTATTTTTATGAAGAACGTTCGCGACTGACAATGATCTGATCTGTTTGGAAGTCGTTTATCTGACTGGTTCTTATCAGAAAACCTATTTTGGTTATTTAGGACACACATTTTACCAAATGTAGCCTCGTCAATCTGCCATATGATTTAAAACAAGTTCTTCCGTCTACCTTGTAGATCAAATTGTCAGTTCTCATCAGCACTCAAAAAGCGAGAGACGATGTTGCGGAATAAACAACAGAAGAGACTGATATGCCGTCAGGCAGATATACGGTGATTGTAAGCTCAGATTAATTGGCCACTCAGCATTAAGCTGAACGCTTAACCGTTGGACCGCTAAAATAGATGATTTAGACTGCGACAGCAATTAGTAGTTATTCCGTTAGTGGTGTTTTATCGATCCGACTTCACCAACTCTGCTGTTAAATGCCGTTGTTATAATAAGGAGGAGCGCCCAATCTTTAAAACAGTAGATATGATAGTCTTAACCATCAAAATCTTAAAGGAGTCAATCTTTCGTAACCAACGACAACACTTTAACAATTGCATGCATGATACGATACTGGCAACACAGACACTCGCTAAACCCAGACACGCGTGTTTCGCCGGTATCCTGTCGCTGCCTGGCACAGCTGCCAGAGGTTCGGCTCATCAATGCCTTTTCCTCGCATTTCCCGTGTGCATTTTGGTAGATACTCCAGCTTAGAAATTGTTGCTTTTTAACTTATACAAAAATTAACTGCCTCAGTAGGTGGGCTAACTCCTGAACTGGCAACCGAAATTCTGAAAGGTGTCTTCGTTTTGAAAAGATAGTTTACGTAGTGTTGTAATACTAGTCAGCCCGCAACATAATTCTATAATATTTCAGTTACGTCAGGATGCCGACTTTCAAATGAACTTCCTTACGGCTGCATACAAAAATTATACTCTGTAAAAAATGACTATTTCGGTGGCATGCATTTTTCTCAATGATTCTCGATGCACCTAAATGTGCAGTTATATTTCATGGAAAAGATGCACAAAAATATTCACTCCTTTGCTCATTTAGTAGGAAATTACGTCTTCTTCCAATTTTTCACTCGTAAGAAGGACATAACACGGTTTTAAAAATGTTTAGAATTGTGGGACTTTTAAATACCGTGAAATGACCGTTCATAAATCGTCACGTCTCTTTATTTGCCAATGTGGCTTGTAAAGATATAAATATTGATCAAATCCACTGCCTCATTTTATGAACCCTTTATGGTCCTCCTTTATTACCGTAGAGAAATGTGTGGTTTTCCGTGCGTGGAAAATATACGGCTTTGGGTCTGTGAAACCTGAATGCAAGTGTACCGGTAGAGCGGGTTCAACATTATTCTCGAATTCGAAAGGTTTTTGAAAACCGAATTATTCCCTTTTGCGTATAGGATTGGAAGAAGACGTAATTTCCTACTAAACGAGCAAAGGAGTGAATATTTTTGTGCATCTTCTCCATGAAATATCACTGCACATTTAGGGGCATCGAAAATCATTTAGAAAAATGCATGCCACCGAAGTAGTCATTTTTGCAGAGTATAGTTTTTGCATATAGTCGGAAGGAAGTTCATTCGAAAGCCGGCATCCTGAGGCAACTGAAATATTATAGAATTATGTTACAAGCTGACTAGTTTTACAATCCTTCTCACTTGATCTTTTCGAAACGAAGACGCATTTCGAAATTTCGGTTAACATTTCACGAGTTAGCCTACCTACTGTAGCTTGGCGTAGATCAGTTGGTACTTAGGTCATAGGCGCAGACCGAAATTTGCCGTGTGAATATTTGAGCTTTGGTCGATCAGCTACACCGACATAACCGCGTAGCATTCATTAATTGCCGACAGGCAACTATTAGAATATATTTACGTTTGCAAGATAGCACACCTCCGGAACCTGTATCAGCTAAAAACACAGACACGAGGGTATTCATACATCAAGTTTCGGTCTACGTCTATAGACCTCAGAAAAACTGATCTACTCCAAATTAGCAGTTAATATTTGAGGTAATTAAAAATCAACAATTTTGTGCTCTGCCAGTCAAGAGGGGGAGGATTGGCTCGTGACTGATTTGTACTCGCGGAATAGATATTGCGTGTGTCCTTGGCTGGGAACGAGGCCAGGCCATTTGGCCGCTTAAGTGTAACGTGCATAGAGCCATGAACGACGGCCAATACATTAAAGACTTGCTAACTACCACATGTATGAAGTAGTGTGACAATTTGTACGCAGTGCACATATAATGACATTCCAGATGCCTCAGTGGATTGCGTCGACCATTGGAAGCGTAGCTGCATGAGTGGCGAAAATCAATGTGTATTTACACTTTTTAAATTTATTCTACCTGTGTACAAGTTAATCAACTCATGGTGCTATTTTAGCCCCAATTCTTAATGGCTTAATGGTCCTTAACTCAAATCCTTGTTTACTCTCATACTTCTCTGGCCAACTTTGCGTAAGCAAAGGCATACTATCGTGGTATTCGAAGAACTGATAACGGGGATGCCAGTTTTGGGTAAATGTATTCACAAAATATATTTGCGGGAGTTTTATCTCTTGAAGAACTTCTAGGAACTTCTTCAGTAGGTGCTCATGCATCCAGTGACAGGAAAGTAAAAAGAGAAGCGTTTTGACTTGAATCCTCAAAAGGAATTAATCAGACAGTTTGGCCACTGCGGATAGATGCAAACAAACCAGCAAGACGTAGAGCTGAACGGAGGACAACAGGCACCTGCCTGACATCCATGATTAGTCGAATAATTGAGCCAATTCATGGAACTCCCGAGGCGTTACCATGCATCCATAATTATCGAACAACCCAGCACGGATAAGATGGCATAGGATTTTTTGTTGGAATCTTTACATAAAGTTTCTTCTATGAGATCAAACGAGTAGTCGCTTGCATCGTAGATGTGCTAAATCATGAAATGTCAACCAAAATTTCGAAATGCGTTCTCGTTTCGATAAGAAAAATTAAGTAGTGTTGTAAAACTAATCATGATGCAGCAAAAATCTATAATGATCCAGTTACCTCTGGGTGTCGGCTTTCGAAAGAACTTATTTTCGGCTGCATGCAAGTTCGATACTCTGC